AGGGAGGGGGAGTCAGCCTTTTCTTCATCGCGAACGCGAGCAATGTCTCGCGAACGTGAAGACCAGGGAAGGGTAGCCTACGCGAACGCGAACACTGCCTCGCAAACGCGAGACTGCCTCGCGAACGCGAAAGCTTGTCAACCCATACACTTCGCGAACACGACAGTGCTCTCGCGAACGCGATGAACACTATCGCCCAGCACTTAACAGAATCCAAAAATGGGATTTTAGCCAAAAACTCATTTTTCTCAAAAACCAAACGGTGAGAAGAGATTTTTCAAGAATTATTTCTTCCCCAAATTGTTGGTAAGTGATTTAAAACCATTTTCTTTCATTACCCATTACATTTCTTGAATTTTCAAAATAAAATCTAGAGTTTTCATGGTAGAATTAGGGGTTAGGGTAGAAAAAAGGAATTTTGGGTATTTTGGGATTTAGACCTCAATTTGAGGTTGGATTCCAAAATTAATTACATATTCGGGCTCGGGGGTGAATGGGTAAAAAGATTTTAGTCCGAACATTAGGTTTTGACCAAGCAGGCCCGGGGTCGATTTTTTGACTTTTGGGAGGAAAAATTATAAAATTTAATTTATGCAATATAATTGATTCCGTAAACAATATTTGATATTATTGAGTCATTTTTGAATAGATACGAGTGTTTTGGAGGTGAATTTCAAAGGAAAAGCTGTGATTGAGAATTAAGTGGTCTTCAGAGCAAGGTAAGTGTTGTGTCTAACCCTGACTTGAGGGAATTAGGAACCTTAGATTATTTGTTAAGTGAAATTCATGTGAGCGGCGTATATGTGAGGTGACGAGTACCTATGCGCCGCCAATTTACCTATTTTTTCATGTTTCTCTGTTTTTCTGATATTGTCTCATTCCTATGCCAAATTTCTACTTGTTATACTAGTGTTGTTTAAATTATTGTTCTTATCATGTTTACGGAATTTTCTGGTGATAATTGAGTTTTTATTTCAAGCTGAGATTGATATTATGGAACCAAATGTTGAAGTAAGGTTTGTACTTGTTATTCTATCTTCCTGTTATTATTTATGCATTGTATTATGGTAAGGGAGAGTGTTAATACACGAAGGGTGATGTCGTGCCATATTGTGAGTGTTAATGCACAGAGGGTGATGCCGTACTATATTGTGAGTGTTAATGCACGACGGGTGATGCCGTGCCATATTATGAGTGTTAATGCACGAAGGGTGATGACGTGCCATATTGTGAGTGTTAATGCACGAAGGGTGATGCTGTGCCATGATATGAGAGTAAAAGTACGAAGGGTGATGTCGTGCCATTTCTATTAATTTTACGATGAGATTGAGAGTAAAAGCACGAAGGGTGATGCCGTGCATTTTTCTTTACTGTATTCACTATTCCTGTTGATTCATGGTATATTGACTGCTCCGGTGATCATTTTGTTGTAGTTCTTTATCTTGTATTCCCCTCAGTATATTTTCCCTCCCGACATTTCCAGTTTAGTTCTTCATTCCTGTTATTTGCGTATACACAGTTAAATTGTACATATTGATTGTAGGTGCCTTGCCTTAGCCTCGTCACTATTTCGTCGAGGTTAGGCCCGACACTTACCAGTACATGGGGCCGGTTGTACTGATGCTGCACTCTGTACTTTCTGTGCAGATTTTGATACCCACTCAGGTTGATCGAGATTTGCTATTGGTCCACTTTCCGGAGACTCAAGATAGATCTATCGGCGTTCACAGACCTTGAAGTCCCCGTCTATCTTTTTATGTCCTACTGTTTTCTTTCATTCAGACAGTTGTATTTTTTTTAGACTATTACTTGTAGTAAATTCTAGAATGCTCGTGAAGTGTGACTCCAGATCCAGGTGGTAGTAATTAATACAGTTTTATGATATTCCGCACTTATTATATTTTATTTTAGTTAATTATTGTTATTTACTGAATGGAAATAAGAAATTAGTTTAATGATTCTCTAACATTGGCTTGCCTGGCAAGTGAAATGTTAGGCGCCATCACGGTCCCATCGGTGAGAAATTTCGGGCCGTGACAAGCTTATAAGCCCGGCCCAAGTCAGCCCGTTGGCTCTTGTGGTTTGACCGAGACTGGGCCTGGGTCGGCCCGTGTACCACAAATTAATTAAATTCAAATTAATTAACTATTAAATATTTAATATTTATAAAAATAAAAAAACTATTAACTATAATCCCCATTCTCCAACCCTAGATTGCTCATTTACCCTTCTATATCAACTAGAATTTAGATTTTTGACATGCATGTAATATGACAAAATTAGTTTTTCTTTTGCTTAATTAATAACGAACTCGAAAAGTTTTAGGTGATCAATAATAATCTTTTTTCAAAAGAAAATATTACTTTAAGTGGCCAATGATCAGTTTGGATTACTTTAATATATTATTAATATTTAAACTGCTCTTCAGTATAGAAAAGATCAATTTTAAATACACACACAAAAAAAAACTAACCACTAGATTTTATGGACTATAATGATGAAATCAACAAAGATGTTAATCCTAAATTAAAAAACATCAGCATATAAACTTATTGAAGCAATCCCTGAATTTGAGAAAAATCAAAGAAAAGTATTAAGAAAATAATCATGTAACTTTAAAAGAGAAGAGCTAGAGATATAGAGAATTTGCATCTCAGTTACGAGATTTCTCGTCAAATATCAAGCTTTTGTACACTCTAAGAAAACAGAAGTTGTTTACATGATTAATCGACTATATCACGAAAACATATTTAAGGATTTAAAGAAATTCTTTTTTCTAAAAACAAATTGAAGGGCTGGCCCACCCTAGCCCACGGGCTTCTTAGACTGGGTTGGGCTGGCCATTTTAAGGCCCATTCATATGGCGAACTGGCCCGTTCTAGCCCATCAAATTTAAAAGCTCACGAGGCTTAGGCTGGACTGGGCTGAGTCGACCCGTTTTGATAGCTTTATCTCTAATCTTATCTTTTTTTTTTTCGTCTTGGTGTATCGGGTAAAATTGCTTATATCAAATGATCGAATGATAGGGCGACACGTGGAACTGCAGACAGGCAGAAGATGAATCGAGTAACAATCGGTACCGGGAACGACAGCTGCCGTTGAACCCCGAAGGGAGCACAATCAACGTGAGAAGATCTAATATTTACTTTCAGAAAGCATTTAATGAAAAATATTTCCTGGCATTAAATAGGCAGTCACTTAAGAGAATATTTGCATTCATAGCATACCATTACATATTCATCAATGGCCCCCTTTATTACCATTGAAGAGGGGCACAATTTTAGGATCTTGTTTCCCTAGGTCTGGATATAATTATTAGGCTCAACAGCCATTGTAAGGCAAGAAATGTCACGATCCAAATTTCTCCTACGTATGACGTCGTGACGGCACCTAGTCCCTACGACTAGGTAAGTCTAACATTGCAGAATAATGAAATAAAAATGTAAATTTAACAACTAGTTGTTCAAAAATATACAGTAATCCCAAATCCCGGAACATCGTGAATCACAAACTACAGAAGGAAAGTCTAGTGTCTCTATACATCAGAGTCTAACAAAAGAAAAATACAGAAGATAATGGATATGTGAAAGAGTAGAAGGGGACTCCGAGGTCTGCGGATGCGGTAGATATACCTTAAAATCTCCAAAACTGTCCCGTCTCACTAATAATGCTGCTGATAAGGAGCACCTGGATCTGCACACGAAAACAAATATGTGCAGAGAGTAGCATGAGTACACCACAATCGGTACTCACTAAGTGCCAAGCCTAACCTCGATCGGGTAGTGACGAGGTCAGGTCAGGGCCCTACTGGTATATATATAATAAAACAAGGTAGTATGAAATACCACAGTAAAATAAAGACTGAAATTTAACAGGAATAAAATCATAGAAGACAACAGCTCAATACACAGAGTTAACAATAGGGGATCTCCCGAGATACCGTCTCGTAGTCCCAAACGTAAATGTGCAGCGGGATCTCCCGGAATACCGTTCCGTAGTCCCAAAGTAAATTTGCAAGACAGGGGAATCTCCCGGAATACCGTTCCCTAATCCCAAAATAAATATGCAGTACAAGGGGGATCTCCCGGAATACCGTTCTGTAGTCCCAAAGTATATTTGCAGTACATGGGGGATCTCCCGAAATACCGTTCCGTAGTCCCAAAGTAAATATGCAGTCAAGGGGATCTCCCGGAATACCGTTCTGTAGTCTCAAAGTAAATTTGCAGTATATGGGGATCTCCCGGAATACCGTTCCGTCTTAAAAAGTTGACCCGTGCCCACGTCTCAAAATCGGGTAAAAGTCATAGAATACGAACACCCATTCACTCACGAGTTCACTCGTACCAAAATTATCCCAACGGAGCTAACAGAACCGACGAAACTCCATTCCGGAGTCATCTTCACACAGTTCCGACTATGGTCAAAATCCTAAGACTTAAGCTCCTGTTTTAGGGACTAAGTGTCCCAAAACACTCCGAAACCCAAAAACAAAACATCTCGGCAAGTCACATAAGCAGAAAAAGGTACGGGGAAAACAGTAAATAGGGGATCAGGGCTAATACACTCAAAACGACCGGCCGAGTCGTTACATCCTTCCTCTCTTAAAACAATCGTTCGTCCTCGAACGAGTATAGAGACATACCTGAAGTGGTGAATGTAAGCACCTAATTTTTGACCATATTTATATTTTTTTTATCAATTTTAGTATTTAAATAGTTTTAAGTTTAATCTTAGTATTTTAGCTTGTATTTCACCTTTTTATAGGTTTTATTTGATAAAATTGAAAATCACAAAAAAAAAAAAAGATTTAATTTGGACTAGTTCTTCTAAAGTCTTGTTTTGTTCAAATGTCCAAGTCATGGCCCAAATTGGCCAAACATGAGCCAAAATAGCTTGATCCATCAGCCCTTTTAGAAATAAAGATGAAATTTTAGCCATTAAAACTCTTTCAATCCAAAGGCTGAGATTCATTTTCCCTCCCATATAAAATACACATTACACCCAAACCCTAACCTAATTTTGAAGCTTCATCTGCCGACCCTCCCTTTCCCTCAAGACCAAGCTCGCATCTCTCTTTCTCAAAAAATACGCCCAGCACCTCACCGTCCAGCAGCTGCCTGGACTCAGCCGCATCAAGAGACGAGAAATAAAAGTACTTGATCATCTCTCTCAAACACACACGCACATAGATAGAGAAACGGAGAGAGGACAGAAAATTGAGAGGAGAAAAGTTTATGAAAAATTATGGTTTAGTTTTAGTGTTCATCCTTCACTGATTTTTATTGGAAAAGAGAAGTACAAAAAAAAGAAGAAAAAGAACGGACCCTCCCCTCCCATAGACGAACCCTAGCAGCGACGCCTCACCTCTCCATCAACTCCGACCAGACCCTCCGATCCCATACCCAAAAACCTTGCTGCTTACTCTCACTCTTTCACTCACGTTTTTGAGCACACATACACACAAAAAAAGCACTTAGCAACAAACGAAAAAAAAAAAGAAAAAAAAATCGAAGTTCTGGTTTTAAAAGAGGCGATTTAGCCTCAAGCCACTGCTCGGTTCAACTGTTTATTGCCGGATTTATGCTGCTGAGCTCCAACCAGCTGTGTTCTCTTTATTTGGTTTAAATTTGGTCCTTGCACCATTGGGTATGTCCTCCCTAAACTTGGTACTTTTTCAGATTTGATTAATATGAAGGTTCATGTTTTGCTTTACTGATTATCTTTTAATTTATGTCTTTGGATTGATGAATGTGAGCATAATAGTTTAATAGTTCAATAATATTCTTTTCAAGTCTATTTGATGCTACAACATTTGGCTAAGTTCTGTTGGTTAGGTCTTCATTCGCTAAATACAAATTATACTTCATCTTACTCATGTTTCATATTTTAGTTTAAATATTTACTTTTAGTTGGGTGAGCACACTGTATCGATTTTAGATTCTGAAATTTGTTCGAAAGTTTCCTTTTCTAAAGATTTCATGAGTTGGGTTATATTCTATTGATTTGCTTATGGTATAGAAATATGCTAATTGTAATTTTGTGAGGAGCATTCACTACTCATGTCTTCGGATTGCCAATTTTAAGATGAGAATTAATTAAGTTAGGCCTTGCTAATACATTAGGTCATATAGCATGGATAAGAAGAATTTTAGTAAATCTTAGGCATAATTTTGAGTTGAAATTTTGATTAAGTGGGTTTAAAATCATTACTGTTGCTCATAAAAACTAGAGTGCATCACTGTCTTCCATAATAATTATTTATTCATAACTCACGTGTCCTCACAATAATCTCAAATTAGTTTAGGATAACATCTTTGAACATTCGTAATTGCTTTGGGCGTGCTTTAATCCATTATCGTGGTAATTTTATACGTTCGCGTGACGTAACTATGATCCCAAAATAAATCAAAGTACGCGTCTGCGCAACTTTGACCAAAAACAATCTTATATAATAAAATGCTATTAATTGTGTACACGTACGCATGACATGATTTTGGCATAATAAACAAAACGGATTCACACACGTGATTCGTTTCAAAGATAATTTTATATTTTAATAATTAAAAACGGATAGATAAAACATGGGAACCAATAAAACACATGTTATCCAAAATTAATTCAAGTCAAGTTGCAGTTAATAAAGCGACTGTGCTAGAACCACGGAACTCGGGGACTGCCTTACACCTTCTCCTCGGTCAACAGAATTTCTTACCCGGACTTTATTTTCGCAGACCAATAATAATAGAGTCAAACCTTCATTTGACTAGGGATTCAAATAAAAGGTGACTTGGAACACCCAAAAATCAATTTCAAGTGGCGACTCTGTAAATAAAATAATCTCTACTCAAATTTGTCACTTTGATTGGAAAAACGCTTTAACCCACAATCCATAACACACATCATTTGAGGGGGTAAAAAGGAGAGTGACAGCTATGGCGACTCTGCTGGGGAATCTCAAGAATTCGAGCTTGTACATTGACTTTATTTGGCTTTATTAATTTTTGTATATAATGTGATTTATTTGGGCATAATGTGCTATTTGTCCGCTTTTTACCACTTTGATATTATTGAATTATACATATAAATTGTCTTCTCTTGCACCTTTCTAAGTCTTCTTGAATTAAAATTGGGCATTTGCTTGACATAACCCGCTTTCTTTGAGATAGCCGAGGTGCTTGTCACCCGGTGAAGAATTTTAGTTACACATATTTTAGGCGGGGAGCACCATCAGCTAAGCTGAAAAGCAATGCTACCGGTATCAGACTCAAGATCAAGTTTCAGAAGACTTAGAGATAGGAACCTTGTAACTCACAGCTGATAGGCTTGTTTAGTTTTTTTTCATTTTAATTATGGTGTAATAAGGAGTTCAGCAAGCAGCAATAAAAGTGAAATCACAGTTTCCCGATAATCTCAGCTACCACAACTCCTTGAACTACACGCGACCTGATTCCTTATAACCCGGGATATGTAGGCTGCCCAAACCAGGACTCGGTTGTACTATTTTCTCTTATCTCTTCCCTTTTGAATAACGGTATGACCAAAAATTAGTCATATCGCTCATCTTTTCTTTGTATGAAAACTCTACGTGTTTCCAAGCAAAGAGGCGCATGTTGTGAGCACTTAATTTTTGATCATGTTTGAATTTTTCCCACTCATCTCACCAATACCTCACTTCTCACTCCACTTTCCCTTGCTCCCCAATTTTTGTCCCCCCTCCCCTCCCCCANCCTCTCTTACAAAAACACATCATCTCCACAATCCCAGAGGAGAAGAAGAACGGATCATCTCTCTTTACAAAAAACCATAGCCGCCACCCTCTCATTCTTCACACCCTCCAATCCGCCTACACTCCTCACACTCGCCTCTCTCAACTCACTCATATAGACACACTCTAACACACTTAGCCATCATCCTTTACACTCTAAAGAAAAACACAACATCAGAGAGAAACAAAATAGTAGCTAAAATAGCTTTCAGTTTTCCCTTTGTACGTTCCAAAAATGAAACGAGTCCCCTTTGGTGTTTAGCTTCTATTTTTTGTCTGTTGGCTCAAGCATTATCTGGGTTGTTGGAGTTTTTGATATTTGGTGCTGCTGGGGTATTTGATTTGAATTGTTCTGCTGGCTTCTCATCGTTATTGCTCTAGCATTTCAACATTTAGGTATTTCTTCTTCTGTTGTAGCTTTTGAATTGTTTCATATGAATGAAGAATGTATGGTTTTTGAGTCTTTATTTGAAATTATTCAACAGTCTTGATTCATCCTTGCTTGTCATATATGAACAATTTGAGCTATGATAGTAAATATTGATGACTGAAGCAAGAAGTACGTATATAGTTGAGTTCATACTTGTCAAGTTTTTAGTGTAGTTGCAGCAGTCCCTATTAAGGAAAGAATTGATTTTACTTCATTAAAAATCTTGGTAAAAATCTTCTATGATTGAACTTTACTTGAATATTTCCATATATGGTTTATTGTTTCCTCGTAAGGTTTATGTATACAAGGTTTGGTGGAAGTTGATACATTTCATGTTTACGGGCATAATTAGCTTAAATATATTGTGAAGTGCTTTGTAAGAATCTACTGCCTAAATTCTTGTCATGGAAATAATTTGTTCATATCTTCCTGTATGCATGTTTAGGCTAGTTTATTTTATATTAATAGGTTACTTCTTTTTAAATGCTTATTATTAGTTATAAAAATATGATTTTTGTCTTTAATCAACCATCAATGGCCAGTAAGGGATAGCAATTGGAATTTGAACTAGTGCTGGAATTTAGAAAAATATAAAGGGACATGTGCCTCAAATAGTCTATTTTGGTGGTTATCAATTAAAGAAGAGAGTTGGGCCAAGTAAATTTCAGCAGCTGCCCATTTTCTTTTAGTAACAAAGTTGGCCCATTTTTAATGAATCAAAAGTGTGACCCAATGCCATTATACAAATCTCCAAAGCAGCACATTCTTTAAATTCAAAAAGGTTGGCCCAAGTTTAATACCATGGTTGTTCACATAATTACTTTTCGATAGAAAAAATAAATTTGTTCTGTAATTAGAATAACTCATTAACTTAATCACCTTAATAATTAATTTAAGTGCTAGGCAACTAGTAGGCGCCCTTTTTAACCCTTTTTTATTCACGAACTCGCTTGCGTAGCGTGATGTTTAACTTGCATTAAATTAGTTCAATAATCTCATACCATACCCATTAGTTTTAGTTAAATTTTTTAATTTAATTAATCCTTTGCTAAAATTGCGGATTCGCTTGCGTAGCGCGATAGTTGAATTTTTAAATAATTTTTAAGAATTAATTTTCTCAAATGTAGTATTTTCTTTAAAGTATTACAAATAATTGATTGTCATAATTTCGAATTTGCTTGCGAGGCGCAATGATGATAAGTTAATTAATTTTGTTATTCGATCAGGCATTCGCCTGCGTAGTGTGGTTATGTCAACATAGTTTATCCAAAAAGCGATTAGGTAAACTATGAAAATCATATAAATCACAGTTTGCCCAAAATTAATTCAAGCCAAGTTTTAAGTCAATAAAGCGAACGTGCTAGAACCACGAGACTCGGGGAATGCCTTACACCTTCCAGATCAACAAAATTTCTTATCCGAACTTCATTTTCGCAGATCAATAATAAAAGAGTCAACCTTCCTTTGACTAGGGATTCAAATAAAAGGTGACTTGGAACACCGAAAAATCAATTCTAAATGGCGACTTTGTAAATAAAATAATCTCTCTTCAAATTTGTCAATTTAATTGGAAGAACTCTTTAACCCACAATCAATAACATATTTATCATTTCGGGGGGTATAAAATGAGTGTGATAGCTATGTCGACTCTGCTGGGGAATCTCAAGAATTCGAGCTTTTACATTGACTTTATTTGGCTTTATTAATTTTTATATATATTGTAATTTATTTGGGCTTAATGTGTTATTTGCCCGCTTTTTACCACTTTGATATTGTTGAATTATACATATAAATTGTCTTCTCTCGCACCCCTCTAAGTCTTCTTGGATTTAAATTGGTATTTGCTTGACATAACTTACTTTCTTTGAGATAGCCGAGGTGCTTGTCACCCGGTGAAGGATTTTAGTCATACATATTTTAGGCGGGGAGCACCACCAGCTAAGCCGAAAAGCAATGCTACCGGTACACTGACGCTCCTCGGCTCGAGTTGTCCGCTCGAGTAAGCCAGTCTAGATACCTTCTCCACAAGGATTTAAACCTAGAAGAACAAACCTCATGCCGGATCCCTAGTAGGTACGTTTGTTTGCATCACGTGCATCTGATTTTGGGAACTCAACATAGGGGTTGGGTCTGCCTAGGATAGGTGTACCCAATTCAAAAGACAATCCTGATGCATTTAAGGTGTTACTTGTGCACTTATTTGTTTCGGCTTTGCATGTTGACCATCTTCTAGAATAGGGAAAGAAAATCAAGAAAAACCAAGAGTGAGGAAAGAGAAACTTACCCGGTTATGAAAAATTCAAGTATTTGAAAAATTCTGAAACTCTACCGAAATTTTGAAAAAAAAAAGAAGAAGAGTCATTTAAAAAATAAGCCAAATATTTTTTTTAAAAAAAACCAAAAAAAATATATTTAAAAAATCATGTTTTTCTGTTATGTCAACACCGACCGAGCTACGCGGGTCTGATTCTCACTAGATGTGAGATACGTAGGCAAACCTCATCGGTTCCGGCCCCCAATTTTCAAAAATCTAAAAACATATTTTTCTTTACTTCCCTTTTTAGAAGTCTTTTTTTGAGACGTCAAATCAAAAAAATATTTCTTCCATTTAAAAAAAAAAAAAAATCTTCTCCCAAAATTAAAAAAAAAATTAAAATCCAAAAAAATATTTTCTTTTTTAAAAAGTTTTTCTTTCGAAGATTCCAAAAAAAATCAAAATAAAAAAAAATTCTTTCTTTAGAACTTTTCTTTTAACAAAAAACAAATTCCAAAAATAAATCTAAAATATTTTTCTTGTTAGGAGTTTTATGGGATTATTTGTATATGAGTAAAAAAAAAGTTAGTTTATTTACTTTATTTCTGATTTTTACCGAACTACGCGGGTCTGATTCTCACCGGATATGAGATACGTAGGCAAACCTCATCGGTTCCGACCCCCAATTTTCAAAAATCCAAAAATATTTTCCTTTAATTCCTTCTTTAGAAGTCTTTCCTTAGAAAATCCCAAATAAAAAAAATTTAAAACCAAAATTTTTTTCTTTCTTTTTAGAAGTTTTTCATTCGAAAAAGAAAATCAAATTTAGAAGTGTTTCTTCGGAAAAAATAAAATAAAAAATAAAAAAATTTTAAAAAATATTTTCTTTTTTCTTTAGAAGTCTTTCTTTCGAAAATTAAAAAAAAATCAAAATCTAAAAAAAAGAGTTACTTTGTTCCTAATCTTTCCTGAACTACGCAAAATCTGATTCATGCGGCGTCATGATACGTAGGCAATCCCCATCGGATTCGATCATACCGATTAAATAAACCGAGTGGAAAAAAAAAGAAAAAAAAAGAGTGACAAAAAATAACAAAGAAAACAAAGAGCGAAAAAAAAGCAAGAGTGAAAGATCCAAAAAGAGAACTCTGTGTCCAGCTTGACCAAGAAACAACAGAAAATTTCAGTGAATATGCTGTCAAATGACACGAGCAAGCCGCCAAGGTAAAGCCTCTAATGGACGAAGCATAATTGGTTATGGTCTTCCTAGAGGCCCAAGAGGCGGACTACTTTCATAATATGATGTCCGCTATGGGTAATCCGTTCGCCGAGGCTATCAAAATTGGGGAGAGGGTCGAAAATAGTTTAAAAACGGGCAAAATCTTGAGCCATGCTACCTTTAAGGCCATATCACAGACCTATCAGAATGGTTCGAGGGGTTTTGATGAACAGAAACGGGAGAGAAGAGGGAGCCATGATGACTTCTAGCATGAGGTGGGCCCGCTGGTCATTCAACCATTCATATATGCTTCCTAAGGTCCTACAACACTATTATCTCCATCAAGATGCTGCTTATACCGTGGCACCGCTTCCCTATGCAGTGATAAACGTGCAACCTTACACGCGGCCACAGTATTTTACATAAAACCGAGCTCCACCTCCCAGAAATGGCCGTCCTTACCAAGTTTCATATAATCCCAACCAAATGTTCCCCAATACAATCCTCGCCCAAGAGAGCCCCTCAGAAGAAATCAGTACACCCATATTGGTGAATCATATTCAAATTTGTTTCAAAAGCTAATCGGTCTAGGTGTGCTGCACTTAGTGGTCCCGAACAGGGCAAACCTCGAGTCCCCCTCGCACCAAGCTGATGTTAGATGTGAATACCACTCTAGAGCAATGAGACATGATACTGAGGACTGTTGGACCCTCAAGAGGGCAGTTGAAGACTTGATTGAAGCCGAAAGAATCGTTCTTCAGGACGAAGAGGCTCTTGATGTGACGAACAATCTGTTGCCTGCTTACAACACTGGGCCAATCATTGGAATGATCTGTGATGATGAGGAATTTGATCCGGCACTGAAGGCCATGGTAACCATTGCCGAGACAGAAGAACAGCGAAAAAACGATCGCCAAACCCGAAAGTTCCCTGTTAGACGGGAGTCTTGGTAGCCGGTCTTGCTATCCTTTCTGCGTCTGGATTATTTCAGGGTGTAATCCGGATGTTTTACTTTACTGTCTTACTTTCTGATGTAAACCCTTCTATCTTTAAAAATTTTTTAAAAATCAAATAAAATTAATATTTCATTATCGAGGAATGTCTCTTTTCTTAATCTTGTCACTTTTCTTATTCTCTTTTCAATTCTGTTAATGCAGATTTTAATGACATGACATGCTTACGAACTTCATGCCCAGATCCTAAAAATGCTCTTAGGCCCCAAATTAATGAATCAAGAAAATGAATGTTTTGAAGAAAAGGCTTGTAAGAAAATAAATAGAAAATTGGAACAAAGTTGAGATTCCCTCTCTTCGGATCATTGTTGAAGCCGAGATCGAGGATGATGAATGGTCCAAGACCCGGTTGGAACAGTTGTGTAACAACCCGGTCGGTCGTTTCGAGAGTTATAAGCCCCTTTTTCCCCATTTCTACTTCTTTTTGTGTTATTCAGCTATATTATGTTATATCGGGTTAGTTGGTTCGGGACCAAAGTGGTTTCAGAGTGAATTGAGACACTTAGTCTCTTAAGTAGAAACTTAAGTTGGAAAAGTCAATCGGATATTGACCTATGTGTA